CATCACACTGTTGCGGCGTGCAACCCGATCCAGATAACATACCCATGGCAGCGTGCCACCCGATCCACACATAGATCTCACATAAGGAGGTGCACATCGAGCCAAATTTGCTCATTACAACAAAATACCGAGTATCGGTCGTAAGCATGCTAAGTGCACAATAACATCTCTGGGGGACATATAGTGCTACAAGCTACAAAACTCAAGCACAACTGAGGTGCGATATACAATCTGAATTTCAAGAGTCAAGTTGCTCATATAACATCATTCCTACGCGGATCCTCAACACATAAGCAATTTCTCAAGCCGTCTCACAACTCACACGGCGCAATGTATCACTAATTGAAATATCTGACAACGAAACACCAACCTAACTACTCTTCCATGAGGACCGCATTACTAAAATGAGCACATCTGGCCTGATATAGAGCCATTATTCACATTAAATCCATCCACCGACTTCAAGCTGATTCTGATCACACTGAACTAGTCTGATAACCTTTCAAACAGTCCATAATAACTCCCATTTTTCTCATAACACACAAGAACAACCATCACAATCGGAGTAATCCTCCCCAGTTCACAACCCAATATGCCAAGTGCCCTCCAGGCATGAATCTTCAATTTAACGACACCATCACAACCTTCATACTTGGTTTACATCTTTAATCAATCAAGTGACTACCTGCCACACTTATATAATCTTCCCGTGGGACACACTCCCACAACCTACCGCAACAATATCTGGGGCGTACCTCCAAACCACCGGTCGCACTAACGCTGAAAAGCGATCAAGAATCATTAACCAGGACGCAAAGCGCTTTTTGCGCAACACCGCTCTCAGGTGATGCTGAAGACAATTCCAATTTACCTTAACCATCGAAACTTCTTTCCTGCTCATCCGAGCTCATGACATATTTGTCAAAATATTCCTTCGCTCGTGCCATTCTCGGCCCAATTTCCACAACCAGAACTGATTCGCCAGCATGCCTCAAATTGGAACTAACATAGTACATAACCGCACAATCCGCTAACCAATAGAAAGCTCCCCAACTTGGCTCGAAGCCATAGATCAAAACACACAATACTCATAAAGCATATACTCCACTGCTGCCTTAGTACCGTAATGAGATTAAACTCAAATCCTCTGTAAGCTCGTGTAAACACATTTCATCTAGTACTTCAACTCTTCAGCCAATCTCGCAACCGTTAAACCCACTCTCTTAAACGACCCGAAATTTCAAACTTCAACACCTACAATTCACTTGCACATGAGATATTCTATCATTCACTTAAGGATCACACGACCCTAAAACTCTTCGCATGGGATGACTCAATTGATTTACCATCAATTAACATTGATGTATACCTTCTACCGTCCTAAACTGTACGCAACCACTTAGTCTTCCTGAGTCTGAACTCATATGGCAACACAAAATTTTTACTTCACTCTCAACTGGAAACATGAAAAGATTCTTCACACGCCCATAACTCGGGCTATACCTCGAATCGCAATGGAATTCAAACACCTAATAGTTCTCATATCATCCAGTAGGCCTTCCTCATCACCTCCAAGTCACATAGATGCACCTTGCAGCACTAACATACTCACCACGTAGCTAACCAGCCGTCACTCCCACTAATAGGGGCAATGCCGAACATATAAGTTCGAAACACTTGCTCACACAATCAGCACCTCGGTGCTCAAGCCATAGGAAAAAATCCGGCCTCAAGTCCTCAAGACTAGCCCAACATAAACTCACAGAGATTATATCTCGCCCCTCGATCGGGGAATCACAAGCCATCAAGTCACATCTGATACTAAGCGCTCATGCGCGCGTACGAACACGTGGAAGGAATTTCAAGAGTTTCTTTTCAAGCTGAATCAAGGACGCACAATAAGAATTCAAGAATGTGAAGTTTTCCTAAGGGTTCTGTAGCCTCTCGAGGATAAGTACAGACGTCTCTGTACCGATCCACGAGACTCTACTAAACCGGCTCATGACTCGCGAGACCAAGTAACCTAGGCTCTGATACCACCTTGTCACGACCCAACCCCGATCGTGATGGCGCCCAACACTCTGCTAGGCAAGCCCGACCATTTAGACAACCTTGATCGATTAATCACAGAGGATAAATAAATATTCACAATTAAAATACCAAATTAACTGCGAAATTTCTGGAATAATCTCTAACATTCGAAACCCCAAAATAAAAATACTAATCAGCCCACAGAATCTGGTATCACGAACATGAGCCTCTAATACAGAATATTCGCCTATCACAAGTCTGTCTAGGAAAAATGCGAATAAAAGGATAAAGATAGATGGGAGAGATCAAGGCTGCGAACGCCCTGCAGCTACCTCGATTCTCCCGGATACTGCTGCTCAGCTAAACAAAATCCTCACTCACCCTGTGGTGTACCTGGATCTGCACAGAAGGTGCACGGAGTATTGTGAGTACTTCCAACCCAGAAAGTAATAAATATAAATAAAGTCTGAGGATAAGAAATCCCAAATAAACACAAGGTAAAGCTATAAATACAGTAAAACAGCGAAGACAATTATAATAATACCACAACAGATAAAGAATAAATGACAATTAAAATATGCAATGCAACACATAAACCGGTACTCTCCAGTACCCCGCTGCGGCCGTGCAGCCCGCTCCATTTATTTAACGTCGACGGCGCTCACTGGGGGTGTGCAGACTCCGGGAGGGGCCCCTTACGGCCCAAGCGCAATAATAAGCCATCTCGTGGCATCAATCAGGCCCTTGGCCTCATATCAACATCATTATCATACCACTGCGGTGTGCAGTCCGATCCTATACTCAGTCCAAAATCACATAAGCCTTTCGGCACAATAATATAAAAATATTCAGCCCAAACTTCATTTAAAAATATTACTTTAGTTCCTACTTTTAGAAAATGGCTGAGTTTACAAAACAGTGTTAAATACCAGGACTGAGTTCAATATCTAGAAATATGGTAAGAAACCAGTAAAATAATCCCTGAAGGATTCAAGTAGTTGGCACGAAGCCCAATTATAACAATTAATCCATTTTTATAAGGATATCACAAAACTACAATCAATTAGGTAGTGATTTTATTAAGCGGGACGGACCAAGTCACAATCCCCGATGGTGCTCTACCCCACGCCCGTTATCCGGCGTGCAAGTCACCTCACATAGCACTACATTGTGCAAATTCGAGGTTTCAAACCCTCAACACAGCATTTACATTTATTACTAACCTTAATCTGGCCAAAGTCCTAACTTGCTATGCCCTTGCCTTTCGAATTAACCTCCTCGTGCGTCGAATCTGACCAAAACCACAATGAATACGCCACAATAGGCTAAGGGAACATAACCCAATCGAAAAGACTCGAAAAATATCGATAATCACGAAATTTGCAAAACCCGAGACCCGAGCCCACTTCTCGAAAAATCAGAAAATTAACATCACCGGATTCCTCATCTCGCCACGAGTCTATACATACCAAAACCTCTCAAATCGGACCACAAATGGCCCCTCAAATCCCAAATTTAGAATTTCAATCTCAAGCCCTAATTTCTTACAATTTGGCTATATTTTCATGAATTTCAAGGATGATTTCACAATATAATCATGTATTTAACTCATAAAACTTACCTCCAATCGATCCCAGTTGAAACTCTCTTCAATCCCCGTCCAAAAGATCTCAAAATGTCCAAAAATGGTGAAAGAAATGAAGTAGTTCGCGGATGAAATGTCTTTAAACATTCTGCCCAGGTCTGCTCTTCTTCCCGTTCGCGAGACCACGCTCGAGTTCGCGAAGGCCAAGTTCCCCAGACCCTTCGCGTTCGCGTAGCATGCCTCGCGTTCGCGTAGGCCAATTGACTCCAGGCCCAAACACCTTCTACGCGTTCGCGATTGCACTCTCGCGTTCGCGTAGCACACTGTTCCCCTCCTTCGCGTTCGCGTCTCATACTTCGCGTTCGCGAAGGCCAAATCTCAGCCCCCCATGTTTTCCTCTTCGCGTTCGCGAGACACCCCTCGCGTTCGCGAAGAAGGAAACCGGATACCAGCAGTTCAGCAATCCAACAAGTTCCAAAAATGACCCGTTGGGCATCCGAAACACACCCGAGGCCCCCGGGACCTCAACCAAAAGCACCAACACATCCTATAACATCATTGAAACTTGTTCCAATCATAAAAACACCTCAAACAACACTAATACCATCATTTCTCATCGAATTCAAGCCTAAGTTCTTCAAAAACTTCCGAAACACGCATTCAATCAAAGCCCCAACCAAAACAGCTCCGAATGACCTGAAATTTTGCACACACAACCCAAATCACCTGACGAAGCTACTGCAACTCTCGGAATTCCATTCCGACCCCCAGATCAAAATCTCACCTATCGACGGGAATTCGCCAAAATCCTAACTTCGCCAATTCAAGCCTAATTCTACACCGGACCTCCAAAATTACTTCCGATCACACTCCTAAGTCACAAATCATCTCCCGAAGCTAACCGAATCATTGGAATTCATATCCGAGCCCTCTAACACAAAGGTCAACGTCCGGTTGACTTTTCCAAACAAGCCTTCCTTAAAGAGACTAAGTGTCTTATTTCCTTCCAAAAATCAACCCGATTCAACTCGTTCACACAAGACACTGATAATGAAGCATAACGAAGCAGGAAATGGGGGAAATGGAGCGGTTCTCCTGAGACGGCGGGTCAGGTCGTCACATCCTCCCCAACTTAAACAAACGCTCATCCTCGAGCGTACCCAGAGTTGTCCTAGAAGCCAACCAATAGCTGAATGACCTTACCAAGCATATACCCGGGGTGATCCCACGTCACCCTATCTCGCATAGGTCCGATAACACAACATAGCTGAAATTGGTCGAAGGATTGCCTCAACAAGCCGAAGCGTATGAATTTCTTTCAACACAATCTGTCTTGTTTTTAGATTCTGCAGTTTGATAGTTGTTGTTCTTTTTATTTTCTCAGTGATTGCGGTGTATTTGCGGCATCATTTGTCGAGTATTTCATTGAGAGCAAGACGCCTCCTAAAAAATTCAATGCCTATGCACACCGGCGCAGATTTGGTGCTCTCTTGTGGGATTATGCTAGAAAGAAGATGGAACTGAACGCGCAAAGTGATGATGAGATTATTGGTTGACAGAATAAGTCGCGGAAGCAGATGTAGTTACTTTTGCCATTGTTGTAGGATGAACTCTATAATTTTGTTTTTGTATTGTGTTCTGTTATGTTGTCATTGTTGTAAGACGGATCAGATTTGTTTGTGTTTGAATTTTATGAATACTTTTAAGAATTGTATGGCAAATGAGATGTTTGCTCTGTTATAAAGGTTTAATGAGTTTCAGTGCGATATTGGATTGTTGCAGTTTAGTTTATTTTGGTGTTTTCTCCCTTGATTTTGTGTTGCGAATTATAGATACGAAAAATATACGGTAGTTTATGATACATTGTCTCTTGCAGATACACGCATGATACATACATGATACAGATATGATACACATATGATACACAGTTTTCAAATATGTATTGATGAAGCCACTCTTATTTGCAAATTTCTAAAACTATTTGCATAGTTTTCTAGCTGCTACGACTGTTTTCCATTAGTTAGCTTTGTTACTACACAAATACAGGCATGAGTAAGAGCCTATACACAGAGATACATAGGTGATACACAAGCGATACATAGATGATACAAATGTGATGCACAAGCGATACATATATGATACAAATATGATACATAGCTGATACAACTTCTTTGTAATCAAACAGATGTATAATATAAACTTGCAACACGATTTTAAATGATAGGTTAAATATTTATTTATATCTAAAATTCAAATGACATTCTACAATGATATAGTTCTTGATATATTGCATTCCTCTAAATCTTTATGATATTCGGTAAAGTAAAATAACAAGTAATTCTAAATTTAACATATTTCATCCTCTCTTTGGATTATTTCTACAAGTTTTCCTGTTGTGACCTTCTTCTCCACACTGTCCACATGAAATCGACCTTTTTCGTTCCCTTTCAGATATTGGCTTGCACCTCCCCTTCCTTGGCCTTCCTATTGTTTTAGTCACGTCTGGTGGCAAGACTTTTTCATTTAGAACTTCTGCAGGAATTTCCCATGTGCTTTCATCAGGAACCAGATAAATTAGAATTTCATAGGTCTTCAATAGGTACTTCGTGGTGTAGTACACCGAGCAATACTCAATGTGATCAATGTATTTGTATTTTAATACTGCCCAAGCATGTGCACATGGCAGCTCATCCAATTGAAACCTTCTACAGTTGCAAGTTAGATCTTTTAGGAACACCATTCTCTGCTTACCCTTGTCAAGTACTGAATATAAGTAACTCGTCGAAGAGGTCACCTACAAAATTTATCAACTATCATTTGTGGTGACAAAGCAGACACCCTCAAAATACATACACTAGAGAGCCTACAAGATTCAAAATAGCTTAATATCATGTCAAACCAACCAATATTTCAGGAGTGGGGTAGGCATAAATGCTACATTAAATTGAAAGCCTTTGCTTTTGTGCAGGTGGACACTAGTTTAACAGAATCACACAAAGGGTTCAAGATATAACAGATCCGTGAATTCGGCATGATTACATATTCTATGCGCCAGTATCTACAGATTCCAGTCATACCTTCATCTGATGCGACAATTCAAGATTGTCCCTCAGCATTGTATCATATTTTTTTCCAAGATCAGTGATTGACTCTACTGCATTCTTTAGGTTTGTAACATTCCATCGTCCAATCAATTTCCTTATGTAGTCTAGCACAGGCAGTACCGGGAGTTCCCTAGCAGCCTTGAGTGTTGTATTGATCGACTCCGCAATGTTTGAAGTCATCGTCAATGTTCTGTTGACAGTGGAATGTGCTCTGGACCATCTTTCATACCCAACATTCATTAAGTAATCTTTGACCCTCTTATCAATTTTCTCTACCTCTGCCATGTGTTAATCAAACTTCTCAACTGTGTATGCTTTGGCCATAGCAAAGAATATGTCTTTGAGTAGCAAATGATTTTTTTTGTAATTTTTTTTTGCATTATTCCATAGATGCCATATGCAGACACAATGAGGTACTTGTGGATACAATGTTGCCGCTGCATTTTCAATGCCTTCATGCCTATCCGAGACTATGCACATTCCATCCCTTTCCTTAAATGCATCCTTGAATCTCGCAAAAAACCACTCCCATGAAGCATTATTCTCTGAATCTACTATGGCATATGCGAGTGGTAGGATATTACCTGCTGGATCTTGTGTTGATGCTATCAATAATGTTCCTCTATATGCCAATTTAAGAAAGGTTCCATCTATAACAACAACCGGTTTGCAATACTGCCATCCTTTTATAGACGGATATAGTGCAACGAAAGCATATATGAACAAGTCTTCCTCTGTTTCTTTCAAACTTACCACCGACATAGGATTTGTAAGAACCAGCATATAAAAGTAGCTTGGCTGCTTTTCATGTGATTCGCTCGAGTTCCCTCTCAGTACTTGAACTGCATATTCTTTAGATCTCCATGCTTGCATATATGTCATCCGAAGACCATACTGCTTGTTCATGTCTCCAATTATGTCATTAGGAGTGTATATTGTTTTTGGGTCTTTATACTTGTCTATCAGAAGACTGCCGATGAGTTTTGCAGTAGCTTGACGTTGTGCGTAAGATCTGTCTTTCAGGGGGCATGAGTGCACTTTGCTGAAATTTTTGACCTTGAAAACGTTTGCTTTTTTTAGGCTCGAAGACTTAAAATACCAATCACAGTTGTTGTTGATGCATACTAGGCAGTACCTACGACAAGGATATAAACTTTTCCATCAATAAGCAGAGCGACATGAAATACAATGATATATAGTGATACACACCGCCATCAACAATAGTAGATGAAAAAATACAACGACTGTACAGTACTAGACGGTGACAACCACAACTTAAAAGTGTACAGCCACATACTTACAAGCAAAAACTTATTTTCTGCATAATTATGCTTCTAACATCAACTACGATATACATTGAGATACATAATTATACAATAAATATTTTGATACCTGCTTTCACTTGATCTATGCACCTTAAACTGAAATTTTTCCTTTACTGCCAAGTGCCTCATGACTTTGATTATCGTTGCCTTGTCTTTATAAATTTGACCTTCTTCTACATCTATGTGTTGAGGGTTAGTTATTATTATATTTTCATCAGATTTTGTATCATTCCAGTCTTCTCCATCCCCAAACTCGATCATCTTAATTGTATCGCCATTGTATCTCTCCTCTACAACTGAGCTTTGTGCACATTCTGAGGAAATCACAGCAGAATTGAAATTATAGCAGATCATGTCCATATCCTTTTCACTCGATGTTATACAAAGGGGATACATTGTAAATTCTGAGCTTTTTTTCAGCTCAAGATATACACATACACCCATACTATTGTGTATCACTATTCGCAGAGAACCGTTTTGGACAGTGTATTTGATTTCAATATCATTCAATGAAGTATCTATCATAAGTTGTTTCGAAATCACGTCTACAAAATCTTCAAAACTTATATTTGGAGTAACTATTACAGGATCTACATTATAATCTACAAAGCTGTTGTCAATATTCCATCGGCCACCATACTGAATAAAAATTGGTAAATTTGCCATTGAAGTAGCTGAAATTAGGTCAAAACTCACTAATTCCTTGATTGATTTTGATTGCAGTTCGTAGTTCCTTCTACACAGAAATTGCAAAAGTTGTATCTACCCAGAAATTGCGAAGGTATATAGTGAAATTAATCGATTTTGAGTGAAATTTGGAGCTCCTTTTGAGAATTTTTTGAGAGAGAATGCCGTGATTTACAGAGGTAGAGAATGTCGTGATTTGTTAAATTGATACGCTTGAAAAAACAGGGAAGGAAGGAAGATCTTTAACGTGATTCTCGAACAGAAGAATCCTTCCTTACGCGTATCTCTAATTTTGGGCTACTTTTGGTAAGTGTCAAATTTTGAGCTAGAGGTTGGTAAGTTTGTATTTAAATTGGCTATTTCTGTACTTTTCCCAATTCTTTTTCTATGGACAACAGAGTACTATTGGATACTTACAATTAGAATACTATTAATAAACCTTAGCCACTGCATGTTGTAGTGATTGCCTGCTAGTCGAGCCGCTGATCAAACAATAGCTAATAAAGATATTGGTTTGGCGGGGAGAGTAAGGCCTCATTTATTGGATGTTTTAATCATAATCATTCAAATCTCAGACATTAAGTGCGTTTGTTTTTAAAATTTGAATCTTAATTATTCTGATCTTAATCATTAAGTGTGTTTGTTTTTTTTTAATTCAAAGATCTATAATAGAGACTTAATTTCATTAAGATGCTATCATCCATATTCATATTAACTGTCACCATCACCTACCATTATGAACTACCACCATGCTACCACCACATATTCAACCACCACCATACTCAACCACCAGCACCAGTACACCACCACCATCCTCAATCATAGCCGCCACAATTATCGACTATCACCGCCCACCATCCCCACCACTCCCACCACCATCATTCTCAACCACAATCAACACTCATCCATCTCAACTAGCACAACTAACCACCCTATCACTATCAACAACCACAGCCCGCAATGCCTATCATTATAACCTACCACGCATTCCTCAATCACAACTACAACCACCACCCGCCATTATTAACTATCACCTTCCACCACCGCCATCCTCAATCATAATCGCCATCACTACCAATCACCACTAGCTACTACCCTTAACCACTACCATCAATCAAAAGTACCACCAACCACCGCTCTAGTCGGCATTCACCCGTTAGCCATCACCACTAACAATTATCATATTTTAAAAAGCTATATACTTTATTGATAGAATATTAGATTAATTAGTATTTCATTTGAATATTATGTTTATTAATTTTTTAATAAAGATAAATTTTATACATTCAGATGTTAACAATCAAACAATCTTAATCTTTTAATATTCAGATCTTAATACGCATCTTAATATTCAGCTGTGTGTTCAGATTCAGATGTCTTAATTTTAATACACATCTTGATATTCAGATATGTATCTAGATTCAGACGTCTTAATCTTAA